TTCCCCTCCTCCCTCCTTCTCTCCCTTCCCACTCCCTCCCTCCTCCCTCCTCTCTCCCCTTCCCCCTCCTCCCTCCTCTCCCATTTCCCTCCTTCTTCCCCTCCCCTCCCCTTCCTCCTTCCTCTCCCCCTTCCCCTCCCCCTCCTCTTTCCCCATTCCCCACCCCCTCTCTTTCCCATTCCCCATTCCCCTCCCCCTCTCCCTCTCCCCACTCCCCACTCCACCCTCCTTCCCCCTCCCCTTCTCCTCCCCCTTTAAATCCTCCTCTCCCCACCCCCTCCTCCCTCAAGTCCGTGGTTCGGCGCGAGAACCGAAACAAAAGCTCCCGTTGGCCCGACCACAGCCCGTGATGAACCGTTTGGCCCAGGCGTGGAGTGTCGGCGAACCACTGCTGGCGAAGGGGGGTGAGGGGGTGAGAGGGGGAGAGGGGGGTGTACGCAACGCAACGCCCTCACGGATATTTCGAAGGAAGCGCTTAGGGAACGGCCGGCTGAGGTGTTGGTTTCGCGGACAACTGACGGTAATAAGGTTGTTATTGTGGATGTGGTTGTGGTTGTTGTTGTGGTTGTTAATAACGTCCTCGTTATTACTGATCGCAGTTCATCAAAATCATTATCTTTAACATCTTTACATACATACACACATACATACATACACACATACACATGCACACACACACACACACACACATACACACACAACAAATACAAACCGACTTCCACCCCCTCCCTTTCTAACGACCCCCCCTCCCCTCCACCAATGAATTTCCCTCGAAGGACCCACCCTCCTAACGACCAAAGGACTCTCCTAACGACCAAGTGACGCTCCTGACGACCAAATGACTCCTCGAGCCACTTTCCGAGGCATATAATCCTTCCCCGAAATCTACCGGAAGCGCCCATGAGTCTTACTCGCGAGTCGTGACAAAACCCCGAAGGTTAAATCCGCGAGAAAGTCTGGGAACGAAGGGGGGGAAAAAGAGAGATAACGAGAACAAAAATAACAATAATTGATATCGTTTAGTGTGTCGGGGTTAAGGCTTTTACACACGCTTTTATCCCTCTATAGAATATCTGCCGACTCACTATACTAGGGAAAACGCCCGAATGAAAATGAAGAGAGATATTACAATCTGAAGAAAAAGAAGAAAAAAAATGCAAAATAAACATCATCTCGAATAAAATACCGTCAATACAATAAAAAAAATGTGTCTTTCCGTCCTCTTCCTCTTCAGATCGAAGCAGCCGCCCGTTTCGGCCTCAAACTCCGTGAAACAGGCGACGGGGTGGGCTTCCTCGCTCGCAGTTCTGGCGGGGGTGACATGAGGACGCTGCGGCAGTTTCTCAAGGCTTCACTTTCACTCTCGATTTTGGGGCTGCACCAGTTTCCTCCTCCCTCTCCCTCTCTCCCTCCTCCCTACCTCTTCCCCCCCCCCTTCCTCCACACACACTCACACAAACAGTTACACAAACACATGCTTTTCGCTTCCTTCCCACGTCCGTGCACCGACGCTCATACATACTGCGCTCTGCTTTGCATTTTCTTTTCATAACAATATTCTCTCTTTCTTATACGTTCAGCCTACTTCCTATCATATACACATAGGCCTATATCTATACCGATATAGGCCTACCAGTATATGCTCATGCACAAACTTGTATCTCCTACTCTTACACAAACCGGCATACACACCTACGCATACATACACACCGGTACACACCCCTATGCATATACATACTGGTATACATTCACGTTCATACAAAAACTGGGACACTATCTTGTACACAAACCGGTGTGCGCTCTTACGCTTATCCACAAACCAGAAGCTTAACAGGTGTTCGATCGACCTCAACAGACCTACAATCTGTCTACATTCTCTACTCTCCCCTTCACCTTCACCTTCACATTCACTTAAACTCATTCCTTTCAAACTAACACATACAGGTCACAGTCAGCCCACATTCAGACTACATTCAGTCCACATTCAACCTACATTCAGCCCACATTCAGCCCACATTCAGTCAACATTCTACCCACATTCAGCCCACATTCAGTCAACATTCTACCCACATTCAGCCCACATTCAGTCAACATTCTACCCACATTCAGTCCACATTCAGCCCATTGGCAACAATACTCCCCTTCCACTACCCTCTCTATTCACCTACATCGAACTGCTATATCAAGCACCCTATTCATTAATCAAACAGCACCATTCATATTCACTCTTTTCCGCGCCCGCACCTTTCTCTACCCAGCCCATCCCTCCACACTATACATACAACAAAACAGAGCTCTAAATACATTATTAATTTCATACAAGGCCTCTACGAAATATCCGATCTATTAACAACTTTGGGCGAGTTACTACTGCAATTCATATAAAATATATTCTAAATTTTATCTCGGAAGATGCCTATAAAACACAGGGATAAATTCCCTAAAACCTTTGTAATTTGGGTAAGGTGTGAGAAAGAATGAGTGGCTGAGTGTGAGTGAGCGAAAATGAGTGAATGAGAAGAGTGAGAGAGAGAGGGAGAGGAAGAGTTTGTGAGACAAGGAATAGAGAGAAAGACAGTGAAGAAGAAAGACAGAGTGAGAAGAGAGTGAGACAGAGAGAGTGAGAGACAGAGAGAGTGAGACAGAGGAGACAGAGAGAGACAGAGAGAGACAGAAGACAGAGACAGAGTGAGTCAGTGTCAGTGAGTGAGTTATAAGTTAATGAGTAAACAAGTAAATGGGCGAATGAGTCTCGATTCAACCTCGACACGCCAGCAGCAGGTGACACCAGGCGCAGGGTCCGTCCAACATGACTGAGCATTCCAAGGACAATATAAACTGCGATTCATGCTTACTCTATTTCCTGTGTTTTTGGTCAATTACGCGAGGAATCAATAACAATTTTAGTAAATAATAACAGTCAATAAAAAACAATCTATCAATATTCCGACATTACCAATCATGCTTACTTATAAAACGTTAAAAAATGTCACCACTTCTCGCGTCTCATCATAAATATATGGATTAAAAATAAATATACATATAAAGATATCAAAATGATAAAATATAATGACATCGATGACATCAGGGAAATAAACCTTTACTCACAACAAAACAAAAAATATAGGCCTATTAACACAAAATCTAACACCCATTTCTGTTCCCGTATGACAAGAGAAGCGAATATATCATTTCGTCAAATTCATTCCCATTCTACACATTCTTCTCCGTCACACCAAATAAAACTTATATAAAGAAACAAGAATCCGTTCTATACACTCCACATATTCTAAATAACGTGTTTCTAATCACTTTCCTTTATGAATCCATACTTGAAGATTTTTCTCTAATCATAAAATCCAACATTCTGGGGATATTTTCAATCACATCTTTCTAGGATTCAACAAAAGAATATCAAAATTCTCCAATTCTATATCTAAGCGAGTATTCTGCACATACCTCCCTCACACTTAACATTCTAACTATAAACCTTAATAAGTGTTTACAAATCTCAGCGTCAGAATCCCACACTCGCAAACGCTGGATTTCAATGGGATAATGATACACTTCGAACAACGATACATAGGCCTAATTACAAGGTATACATAAGCTGGTGGAACAGAGAAGATGAAGACCCTGAGTTCAGGATACACAGGAATGCGTAATTTCATATTAATTAGGTATGAAACCAATGGGAATGGTAGCAAATAATTATTTAGTGCAGTGGAGAGTCTTAATTAAAAGGCTATTTACTCTAATTCCTTTTACTACACACCATTGCTTTCCCAGATTTACCGAATGAATAGATCTAAGAAGGAATGAAGTGTTTTTTTCACGACAATAAGATTATTAAGGTTATCTGGGCACTCTCCTGCCTCCTGTAACACCTAAAGGGACCAACACTTACGCACTTTCAAAAACGGTCATCGTGGGAGCAGAGGCGAGGAGAGCGGACACAGGTTATGTCTGTCTGTAAATATTTTCCCTCTCTCGCCTGTTGGTACCGATGCCCTCTCCTCTACCCCTCCCCCCCCCTCCCTCCCTCCCTTCCTTAAAAGCTACCCATCGCCTCTGCCCGATCACTGCCTCTTCCTTTCTCCCTTCTCCCTTCCAAATATTTTCTCTACCATCTCCTCCTCCTCTCTCTCCTCCCTTTTCGACCGCTTTACTATCCTGTCCTCTCACTCCCCTTCGCCACACTATCCCCCCCCCATTCCTTCCACCTTGACCTGTCCCTCCCCAATTCCCTTCTTCCTCCCTTCACCCTCTTCCCTCCACCTTCTTCCCTCTTCCCTCCACCTTCCTCCCTCCCTCTCCCTCCCCCCAAACCTCCCTCCACCATCCATCTACCACCCTCTCGCTCCACCTTCTCTCTCTACCCTCCCATCACCCCCCCCTCCCCCTACCCTCCCTTCACCTTCCACTGACGCAACCCGGCTCGCCCCCCCCCCCTCCCCCGACCGCTCCCCGACCCGCACCTTCACTCCCGACCAACCCGACACCCGACGACTCAGGCGAAGGTCACAGGCGAGTCGGGTTCCGTCTCTGGGAAAAGAAGGTGTTTGACGTATGCGTAGACATGGAAGGTACATGTATACACCAATACATACACGTACGTCTGTGTATATCTAGATGTAAGTTTTGAATGTAATATGGTATAAGATGAGCTCGATACATCTCAATTTATCTTTCTTTCAGCATCTCAGGTCACTTATGAAGTGTTTTAAGCATCCTGTCATAAGAACTCACTTAAGTATGTTTGTATAACAATAATTTGACTGTAATATATTTCAGAACTTGGGTACTAAGCAGATAAAGATGGACAGAAATATGAAAAGGAAACTTTAAACTAAATCTAAAGTTTATTATGATGCTGCCTCTCCACTGCACACTTTTAAATGCTCAAAGAAAACTAAGTACTCGTGAATTAAACATAGCAAGTTCTATCTTCATCTCAAAGTCAAAACTGATGTTAAAATGAACTTAAGTCGGGAACTTACCTCGTGTCATCCTGAAACTTATCTCCCGGGTACAGAGAACAATTTATTCCAGTCCCGGTTTTCTCGCCGTGATTAACGTTAAATCCAATTCAATTCACATACAATTTATTACACGGATATCACGAATTCACGACGACATAGTGGCAATGTTAACACGAAAACTCCACTCGCAGGACCTCTCCTCACTGCAGTTAAGA